CACAAAATAGCCCAAAGTTCTTTCACATACACTGGGTAAGCATTACAAGAAGTGTGTTACTTAGTTTAGAGGGCACTTGATTGGTACAGTGGATATTGGATTTCTGGTAATAGAACTAATTTTAGAAAGCACCAAATGGTAGGCCTGAGCCTACTATATTTTAAGATTCTAGAAACCTGGTGTAAGGCAAAGGGATTTCTATTGGCTAAAGTTATTAAAGCCAGACGTGTAAATTCTACTTTCAACTTCTAAAACTAGTCTGAAGCAAGCATATCAGAGTCTATTGCAGTCAAGTCCCTTTAGGCCTTTAAGACTTTTGAGCCTCTAATGAATTTTTTAGGTTGTAGATGTACTAGATGTACTTATCAAGCTCACAATTTAAGTACTGGATCACTTTAGTAACCAAAGGTATTACCCAGTTGTATTTGTAATCTAGAAGTCTGTCTTTTACACTTGATTGAAAAATGACATCCATGTGAATCTTAAAATGTTTGAGTAAGTTTAATGGAAACTGATGTTAATTAATTATAAAATGTTAAGCTTTCAAGTTTAGTTCCACAAAAGTGATTTTTTATTTTATTCACTTAGTATTCAGGTGAAGATCCTACAGACAATACAAGAGAAATTAAGTTCTGACCATGTCTTCCTACTGAATGTCAGGTTTTAGAGAAAGCAAATGATTACAAGACTAGCCTTACAAAAATTGTAACCCCTCTGCTCATGAACCATAGTAAGGATATTTAACATTTCTGCCTCATCTTCCACCTAATTTTTTCAACATCTATCCAACCTGTTGGTAACTAAATCCTCCAAATTTGTCACTCTTTGGTTCTCAACCATACTATAATTGCTTAGTGTTCTTATGACTAATTGTATCTTCCCCACATATGAGTTGGTCTTGACTCAAATATACTAGCTTAATCCTGATAGTATTTCTATTGTGTTTTGTATCTCTGTGTAGGTTGCCCTTGATTTTTCTTGGCATCTTAAATCACTATTGACACAAATAAAGAAGTGTTTATCTCTTGCCTCCTTGGCCGAGACTAGTCTTATAATGCATAAAGAGAATGTCCAGTACTAATTTGGATTATATCAGCTAAGAAAATGTGATATATTAAAAGGTCCACTGGAAGTCAAGGGAATGAAAACAGAAAGAACAGGAGAAAGAGGTTAGAGGGCTCCAAAACAAACTATTTCACAATATTGCCTTGTTTTTAAGTATTTGCCAGCTTTGACAAAAGGGTAATGGCATTTTCCCCTCAAGGTTTTGTGTCATAATAAAGTTGTTTATCATTTATTGTAAGATTAGTGCCTGGGTCTATCTTAGGTACCTAAGACATTAGTAAATGAAACAGATCTTTGCCCTTAAATTCTAAGAGTTAGCATTTTAAACTTAGATTCTAGGAGCTGGAAATAAAGATAATGACAGATTTATTTAGCATGTTAGTTTCAAGTAGAGCAGGGTAGGGAATCATCAAGATTGCAAAGTCAGGGGCTAGGGTTGTGGATCAGCAATACAGCGCTCGCCTGGCACATGCGGGGCACTGGTTCGATCCTCAGTATCACATAAAAATAAAATAAAGGTATTGTGTCCAATTACAACTAAAGAAAAAAAATTAAAAAAGATTGTAAAGTCAACTACTTTTTCATTATATATCACATATGCTGTCTCATGTTCATTAATGAAACTGCATTTTTATTCTATTTATTTATTCTTGTTTTTTTGGAGAGAGGGTTGGCCTCACATTGGGTTCTAATGATCTACTGACCTCAGCCTCCTGAGTCCCTGAGACTATAGGTGCATGCCACTACACCTCGCTAGAATGTACATTTTAGATCTCCAAATAATTTTGCTTTTTCAAGGCCCCATAGCTTTCCTTATTCTATTTGGTAGTATCAAGATCCTTTATTATAGCCTGGTGTGGTGGCGTACTCCTGTAATCCCAGCATCTCAGAATACTGAGGTAGGAAGATTTTGAGTTCAAAGGCAGCGCAAGGCCCTAAGCAACTCAAACCTCATTTATTATTTAGAGACAGAGTCTCTAAAAAATATATAAAAAAAGGGCTGGAGATATGGCTCAGTGATTAAATGCCCCTGGATTCAATCCCCAGTACCAAGCTGGGCGGGGGCACATGCAGTGAGATCCTCTATTACATATCTGACCCATTATGCCAAATTATTTTTTTCTCTCCTGGAGTTCATGAAGCCTTAGGGCCTCTGCAATAACAGCACCTACCTCAGACTTGGGAAATCAGCCATTCATATGGCTGGATCTTTCAAATTCATTTGGACATCTCAAGCTTCCTATGAATGATCTATGCAGGGTACATTACCTCATCTTAATTCCCAGAAAAAAAATGCTAAGATTCTCTTCCTTAGAATTACACTTAAAATACTGATGTTTTGGTCACTGTGGAATCCCAAACACCTATGATTCTTCAGTAAGATATCTAAAATCATTCTCTGTGTGGTGGTATTAAACTTTTGTACTTTAACACAAATACATGGAAGCTAACACTTGCTTAGCATGTATGAAACCCTGGGTTCAATCACTAGAACCAAAACAAAATGCAGAAGTATCCCAAAATAAACAACCTCTAAATATATCTCAAGGAACTAGAAAAACAAGAAAAATTCAAATCCAAAATTAGTAGAAGGAAAGCTATAAACATAAGAGAATATCCATAAAGTAAAAAAAAAAAGGCATTTAATAGAATTCAACATCTCATCATATAAAAATCCTGAATAAAATAGGTATAGAAGGAAAGTACCTCAACATAAAAAAGGTCTAATAAGGTCACATGTAAGCCAATAGCTAACATACTTAATGGGGAAAAGCCAAAAGCTTTTTTGTTCTAAAATCTGGAATAATAAACGGATGTCCACTTTCACTACTTTTGTTCAACAGTATTGAAGTCCCCAAAGAATCAAATACATCATGAGCAAAAAAGAAGAGAGCCGAAGGTATTATAATACCTGATTTGAAGGCAGGTTTTACAAAACCACACAGTATGGTACTGGCATGAAAACAAGACACACAGACCAATGGGACAGGAGAGAGAACCCAGACATGATCCCACACATTTATAGCCAGCTAGTTTTCAACAAAGATAACAAGATCATACATTGCAGAAAGGAAAAAGTCTCATTCAATTAATGGTGCCAGGAAAACTGGATGTCCACAGGCAGAAGGAAGAAAACTAGACTCCTGTCTCTCACCAGTTACCAAAATCCAAGCAAAATGGGTCAAAGACCTGAAACT